TGTGAAGGGTAGAAGTGTGTGAGGGGGTAGGAGTGAGCAAGAGGTTGGTTAGTTCAAGTGTAAAATTTAAATTATAGTTGGTGCTAGAGGTCATTGACGAAAAAAAAAAATGCACGCCCACTAATAAATAGGATAAACAATTAAGGTATGGTGAACAGACAGTGAGGCCCAGCAGTCCTCACAGAGTGGGGCGAGTTGTTTCTCCATGTATACCTGGAGAGGGTTTCGGGGATCAACGCCCCACAGCCCGATCTGTGACAGGTGTATGTGTACAGTCATGCGTGTCTCACTCGTAATCATAAGAGCAAAGTTTTGCAAGCCTGACAGCAGAAGGAAGATGCCCAGAATCCCAGTCATGGTTTGATGGAAAATAATTTATTTCATTCTAACCGAGACCGATGTTACCAGTGGATATAGAGTTGCTGAGACTACTGAAGAATAGTCAGAGAAAGGAATGCCCCCAAAGGAAATTGGGAGGTTGTGAATAGCTGACCGAGAGGCCAAATCTGCTTGGTAATTGCCCTGAACACTGGTGTGTCCAGGAGCCCAGCAAATAAAAAAAAAACTTTACAAGAAATGTGACAAGCATACAAGACAATAGGACGAGGGGAGGCTTATTTCTGGATAGCTTGTAACACCTGCTGGGTAGCCAAATTATTTTGGTAATAAAAATAAGTGTTGCACACTTATCTTGTTAATCATATTGTCAGTACAGTCCTCATCTCTTTATCCAAAACTCTGAAATTCGAAAAGTTCCAAAAACCGAAGTTTTTTCTTGGAGGTGCTACTAGGTTAGATGCCGTGCTTCTTCCTTGGTTGGATAAACACATGAGTGAGAGGGGGTTGGATTTGAGTGGGACTTGTACATGTTTAAATAATTTTTTTTTTTCAACAGGTTGGCCGTCTCCCATCGAGGCAGGGTTACCCAAAAAGAAAGAAATCCCCAAAAAGAAAATACTTTCATCATCATTCAACACTTTCATCTCACTCACACATAATGTAGAGTCACCCCAGATACAACAGTTTAGAAGCATATAAAACATACCCCTCCAAACTGCCAATATCCCAAGCCTCTCCTTTAAAGTGCAGGCATTGTACTTCCCATTTCCAATACTCGAGTCCAGCTATATAAAAATAACTGGTTTCCCTGAATCCCTTCACTAAATATTACCCGGCTCACACTCCTACAGCTCGTCAGGTCCCAAAAACACACGTCTCCATTCACTCCTAACACACTCACACATGCTTGCTGGAAGTCCAAGCCCCTAGCCCACAAAACCTACTTTACCCCCTCCCTCCAACCTTTTTGAGGATGACCCCTACCCCACCTTCCTTTCCCTACAGATTTATATGCTCTCCAAGTCATTCTACTTTGATTCATTCTCTCTAAATGACCAAACCACCTCAACAGCCCCTCTCAGCCCTCTGACTAATACTTTTAGTAACTCCACACCTCCTCCTAATTTCCACACGCTGAATTTTCTGCATAATATTTACACCACACATTGCCCTCAGACAGGACATCTCCACTGCCTCCAGCCACCTCCTCACTGCAGCATGTGCAACCCAGGCTTCACACCCATATAAGTGTTGGTACCACTATACTTTAGCACATTCCCTTCTTGCCACTCGCCTTTTTTCCTTCAGTTTCTATGGTTAACCTCATCCTTCATAAACCCATCTTCTGACAAGTCAACTCCCAAATATCTGAAAACATTCACTTCTTCCATACTCCCTCTCTCCAATGTGATATCCAATTTTCTTTATCTAAATCATTTAATACCCTCATCACCTTACTCTTATCTATGTTCACTATCAACTTTCTACATTTATGATGATGAACTGTACATGAAGGGTATATAATACTGACAAGATGAAAATTAGACATTTTGCGACATCTGCGTATCTTTAATTGTAGATGTTTTGCCAACCAGTGGCTTTATCAATACAGATTCTAGGACATAACTTGAAGATAGTAGAACTATATACAAAAAGATGAGGTAATCAGTCCCTCAGCCTTGGAGTTGGTGTGTAGAGCACCATAGTTGACGAGATTCTACCTTTACACACCCTCCCAAACTCATCCACTAACCTTTGCAACTTTTCTTCAGAATCTCCCATTAGCACGGTATCATCAGCATTGGGTAGCATTGAAAACTGGGTTGGGCAAATATTGCTAGTGGGATGGATTGTGAAGGACCTGCCTCAATAACCATGCTAGGCAGACTGTTGGCCCATACTTGGTTTGGTCCTCACAAATCCAACCCATTAACAGAATAAACACTATCCAAGCAATAAGCTTTGATAATTCTAGCTACTCATGTGCAAGCTCCACTCATATCCAACCCCTCTCACTCCTGGAGTTTACCTGGAGATGTTTTGGGGGTCAATGCCCCCGCAGCCCAGTCTGAGACCAGGCCTCATGGTGGATCAGGGTCTGATCAACCAGACTGTTACTGCTAACCGCACACAAGCTGATGTACGAACCACAGCTCGGTTGGTTAGGTACCGAGTTTAGGTGCCTGTCCAGTGATTTCTTGAAGACAGCCAGGGGTCTATTGGTAATCCCCCTTATGGTTTAGAAAGACACGCAAGCAAACACTATGACATATTAGAAAACGTTTCGGTCCTGGGACCTTGATCACTTCTAACATACAGAGGTATCACTTCTAACAGAGGTAGAGATTGAGATGCGAGTGATGCATGGTGACCTGAAGAATGCCATGATGGGATGAGGACAGGTAGACGATGAGATCACGTGACTCCTGCGTTGTTGGGTTGGTGATGCTTGAGTATCTTGTATGCTAATGTTTTAGAAATTTTGTGGTTTCCAATGTTAAGTTCTATTGTGTCGGTGACGGTGATTAGCGAGGCTTCTGGGCACTGTCGGCATCTGAGGTCTGGTTCAGTGAGAACGAGTTGTGCCTCATCCCAGTTCATCAAGTGCCCGTTATTCCTTTATCACGCATTTTGTGCTATTACACCATGGTCACACTTGTCAAAAGCTTTTGCGAAGTCTGTGTACACTACATCTGTATTTTGTTTATCTTCTACATTATTATTATTATTATAATCAAGGGGGAAGCACTAAACCCGTAGGATTATACAGCGCCTATGGGGGGATGGAAGGCATTCAGGCTTAATTCAGGGAACTGGAGCACAGATCCAATTCCCTAGATCAAGAGCCCCTCACCAGCGTCAAGGAGCCTTCCTTGAGGGGTTTATCTTCTACAGCATCCAGGACCTTGTCATAGTGGTCCAGTAGCTGGGACAGGCAGGAACAACCTGCTCTAAACCCGTGTTGCCCTGGGTTGTGTAATTGATGGGTATCTAGGTGGTTGGCTATCTTGCTTCTTAGAACTCTCTCAAAGATTTTTATGATATGGATGTTAGTGCTATCGGTCTGTAGTTCTTTGGATTGCTTTACTGCCACATTTGTGGAGTGGGGCTATGTCTGTTGTTTTTAGTGTGTTGTTTTCGTGTATTTCTCCAACCTAAATTTTAAACTACCCAAGGTTTTAGCTTCGATAGGACCTTCGGTAGCTTTAAAAAGAGATTGGACAAATGTACGAGTGGGAGGGGCTGCGTATGATTGGTGTCGTGGGTACATAAGAAAGGGGAAACACTGCAGCAGGCCTGTTGGCCCATACTTGGCAGGTCCTTCACAAATCCAACCCACTAACAAAATAAATGCTACTCAAGCAATAATCATTGACAATTCTATTTACTCAAGGCAAGCAATTGCTGGCCTTGAACACTGTGCATTTATCAATGAGCAAGGGATTATGTCAATTTACTCAGAGAGAGATTGCTTAGACAGAAACCTATGTTAATAAGACAGATGACACTTGAAGAAGTCTTTAAAAATGCCGTCTGTCAATCGTCTTCAGAATCATGTTCCTGGTCTATATTTATCCCAGTATTTCATTTATCAATACATGACTCTGTAAATAAACCGTAGTAGTATTTGTAGTCTTTATTTATCCCACTTAGTGTGAGAATTCATGCATTTTTTGCTGCAGTGTTAATGTCTGATTATGGGGTACTGCCCTAGACCCCCACCTTCATTCCGAAATTCGAAACACTGCTGGCCCCAAGGGTTTCAGATAAAGGGATGGGGACTGTATTATATACCACCACATAATGAAGTCAACCTTGTATTGCATATTATTATTATTATTATAATCAAGGGGGAAGCGCTAAACCCGGAGGATTATACAGCGCCTGGGGGGGGATGTGGAAGGCATTCAGGCTTAATTCGGGGAACTGGAGCACAGATCCAATTCCCTAAATCAAGAGCCCCTCACCAACATCAAGGAACCTTCCTTGAGGGGTTGTATTGCATAGATTTATAGACAAAATAAATCCATTTTGGGCTCACTGTTTGATTTTTCAGTTGCTCTATTAGTATTTTAGCAGTATCTGGTACTGTAGTGTTATCCTTCACCTCATATATTGCTGTGCTTCCTTCACTTCTCAAAAGTTTGAGATTCAGTGCCTCATACACTGTTCTAAGTAAATATTTTAAAGTTAACTACTATAAAATAATTGCTGTCAACACATTTTATTGACAGACTGAACACACACGATTTAATTCTCTCACTGCTCTCAACATGTTACAAGAGGGAAGCGAGTAATTACTGATTGAACGCTGCAGAAATAAGCCCCTCAAGGGAGGTTCCTTGACGCTGGTGAGGGGCTGTTGATCTAGGGAATTGGATCTGTGCTCCGGTTCCCTGAATTGAGCTTGAATATCTTCCATCCCCCCACACGCGCTGTATAATCCTACGGGTTTAGTGCTTCCCTGTGATTATTATAATAATAATGCAGAAATAAGCAGCAGATCACCGACGTGATTCAGTGTGAAAGAGCAGAACCATTAATGAAAACGGTAGTCTATTGTAATATTTTCTACAGTGCAGCAACTTATGTACATATTAAATCCCAAGATGATGAAGAATATTACTAAGTTATAACTGGGCTGCATTAAAAACACTAAATGTATACAAAACATTTATTGTATGTGTGTACAGGGACATTTCCAAGATTTCCTCAGGATGACAAGAAGCACAACTGTGTCTGTCCAGTATAAAACATAAGAGATATATTAACAGTAAAATAAATAGTTGCTTACATGGGTTTTATAATGACAGTAAAAATGTATTATTACATTTAAAAGTCTTCATTTCAACACAAAATGCAGATACGGTATTTAGAGATTACTCCAGTAATCTCTAAATACCGTATCTGTGGAGTACTGCCCAAAATAGTCTGGTCAAGAAAAGACAAATATAGTATCATCAAATTAGACATACCACATGTGCAGCTGTCATCACTGAGACAATATAAACTCATTTTGTTCACAAGGTATTGGAATAAATATTATCATTCCACGGTTTTCACAGAACTGTCTTATAAACACACAAGTATGAACATTCTTACAATCATCATATAAAAAGTATATGCATATCATCTAAGTTAGTAGAGGAGAAGCTAATAAATAGAGTACACTCAGGTATGCAGTATGTACAAGCAAGATTATTAAACATACAACCTGTATACAAGATAATTTCCACATATTATACTTCATTCACATTGCATATAAAATACATAATTACAGAAATATAAAAAGATTTTAAAATTTATTTATTTGAGCGATATATCTATTTCTATTAATGAACTAAAAAATATAAACATATGTGAAGAAAATGTTATGGAGAATGCATAATAAAAATAGACTGAGTATCTCCAGAAAACTTTTTTGATGAAGGTGAAACATTTGGCTTCTTTCATACAAAGCTACAACAAATGAGTGTGATAACACAATGAGTTAGCAAAAGAAAAAACTGAACCCAATGAGTTATTTGGGGGGAGGAAAAAAACTAGGTTGTCCTTGAGGAAAAAACAAGGTTGTCCATAAGAGAGCATTATATTTATGCCTACTGAATACCTCCTTGATATGCATGAAAATCTGCATTTTTAAGTACAATTCTAAAGTAACAAAGATGAAATTAAGGGTAACAATATTCAAGGTCACATTCTGGTTTCCTGGTTAACATTAATGGATTTATGAAAGGACACTGATACTATCACATATAAAACTAGTTTGAGAACAGTATGTACAAAGTAACAATCACACTTTAGGCATACAGTCAACCTCAAAATGTATTCTTGGGTGTTGTCTCTTTTACCCCCAACTTAGTTGCAATGCTCTTATGTTTTATTTTCCCCTGATTTTATACTAAGAACAATGGTTCTTTATTTATTAGTGTACAGCTGACACTTGGAATGGAGTATTTTTGTAAATAATATGTTAAAAATGACTGTAGTTGATTTCATTATTAGTAAGCAAAGATATTTGGGTATTTTTCAATCGTACAATAATTTTTATCTTATGAAATCGAGTATTATTTCCATCAATGTTAAATACTGTATATACCGTATATACTGTACCTGCAAATGAAGAAAAACAGTCGTGAACATAAACATTCCATCTTCCATATTACTTTATGAAAGAGTTGATGTTATACAAGTTCTGAGTGTTATTTTAGACTAAATACTCATTCTAAACCATAAAAAAAAAAAAAAAATAATAAACACAGCAGGCACCACAATGACTGCCTTCATTCTGAAGAAAAACTTTCAAGCTTCTGTAAAGTAACTAAAATGCACTGCAAATCAGCTTTGCAATGTATTTTAACAGACTGAATGTGGCAATAACATACCAGCATTAACATAGTTAAGCAGAGCAGATCTGCCGTGGGTTTTAGGCAGGATGGTAGTCCATTAATATTTGTTTGGACTATAATTCAGAGGAAGACCCAGAATTCAATGCTTGTAGTCATTCACTGGCTACATGGCAGATTCTGAGATTCACAGTCAAAAAAGCAAGAGTAAAATAGTGACACTTTATTACTTTATGGGCCAGTAATGGATTTGCAAAGGCCACTTGTCATGATGGTAGCTTATTTAGAAATAATTTATGCCCCACAGAGCTACAACAATATGACTCAAGCTATAATGGTAGCTGTCTGACAGTTACTAAGGCCATACTGACACCATAATGTTAAAACCTTGCCTGCAGTAAGTCAATTAAGTGTTCACAAAAATCCATATTGGTGCAGTCCTGGCTATGATGGTAGTAATGGAGCTATCTGGTAGGTACTGCAGTTAAATAATAATTTTAGGGTCCCCAGCAATAAGTCCCTTAGGTTTTTGAAAGACTTCTAGTAATTGTAAGGGCCATACTGGGATCCATAATGGTAAGGTCCTGGGTAGCCATAGCCATAAGAAGGGTACTGGGGCTTCTGCGAATAAACTGGAAGAAAAGAATGCTGTTAAATACATGAATACATCTATGAAGTCACCCTGCCTCGGTAAAACCCTTTTTTTTTTGTAAAAAAAATTTCTCAAGTCTAAACAAATAAAAATATACTGGCAAGAGTGCAACCCCCCCCCACCCCAAAAAAAAGACCAAGATTGTACATTATACTAATACATAACCATGCAAATGGACATAATACAAAAAGTTAGTGATACTGTCATGCAATCAATATGTAACAATAACTAAGCCATGTGTGAGGATTAAAACTACAAAAAAATATACATAACAATTTCTGAAATATATACAGTTTTCTAAGAATAAAGTACAATCCTAGCAGAATACAATGAAGTGCAAATGGAGAAAAATTCAGCCATTTCATTATAAAATACCATACCCATATTTAAATATGGGTATGGTACCTCTATTATATCTATACTGTATATAAAATGGAGACCCTGGCCTCATCACCTGAGAACACACAACCACAGGATAATTTGTTAAACTCAGTGTAAGAACATGCTCTTATAAATGTTCATTCACTGAAGATGACAGTTCACTACTGTCATCTACATTACTCTCAAACTAGAAATTAGCAACTAAAAACTTTCCTGGTCATTACCTTATCAGCCACTAATTGTTTCAATGTTCATGACGACAAAGCCTTTCCAGCAAGAACTGCTAGCCGCTGGCTCAGCTGTGTTATTAGCATTTAGTACTTCCAGTTAGTGCTTTAGGTGGAGTAAAATGCTCCCTGTTCCTATTACCACTTATTTTCCTCTTGAATCTTATGTCAAAATCTCCTAGAAGGATAATATATGGTTCAAGATTTTCTGATTTGCTCAGGAATTCCTTTGTAAGAGCCACTTATTTGTGGTTACCCATTTTACTTCCATAAATAAAAGTCCCAATTATAAGCAACACACTATGTCATCTTTTTTAACTCTCATGTAACCAGAGTTCTTGCCTTTTGGAACAAGTTTTGCCAATACTCATCTTAAATTCACTATTATCATAGTTTTTTGTTTTTAAACACTGGCTATTTCCCACCAAGGTTATGAAAAAAAAAAAAACACAGCTGTCTTCTCATAAGTGCATGAACATCACAATCCCATCAGCCACAGTAGAACAACATCCTCATTCACCTTGAAAACACAAGCACTGTAGGCATTGTATTTACCACCTTTGGAATTCAGTCTGGTCAAGTGGTTTATATGTGTACTTTCACAGCTCTTCTATTGCTCTCACTTCAATATGTCAAATACAAAAAAAAAAAAGCACTCATTTCTGCTCAAACTGATATATGCAAGATGATCAAGCCCCTTTCTCAAAATCTCTTTCACACCCTCCTTCCAACCTTTTCAGAGATACCTTCTATGCTATCCAGCCATGGACATTTACTTTTCCTCTTGGTCACTTAATCATTTTCTACTCTATAAATGACCAAAACTATCTTGACCTGTATTAAACTCCCTGACTTGTACTTTTCAATCCATTTATGCTTTAATTTATTCACTACTTATTCTCTGAATAATATTCACACCACACATTAAATTCCAACATGACATCTCTACTGTCTCCAACCTTCAAAGACCATACTCGACTGTGTTATCACCATTATAATCAGATATGTGACAACCAGTCTTTCATTGCCTTGACTACTGCTTTCATTATACTGTTCGTTATTACCATATGTTTGCTTTGAATTTCCTTCTTTTACACATCCCATCAAAAACTCCTCCACCAACCTCAGCAACCTACCTTACAAATACAGTACTCCAAAAATGCTGTCATCAGTAACACCCTTTTATCAGATTTACTGTATTATCTACTACAATATACATGTCTCAAAATTGCTCTAGCATTCACTTCCTTTTAAAATCCATCTATAAATATAATGAACACCATGAAATCACACATATTTTTCACCTTTAATGGAAAATTCTACTACTAATCTCCTACTTGAGCCTCACTCTCCTTAAAAAACTTTTCAGCTTTATAACAATCTACCATTTATTCCATAAATTTGCAACATCTATAATGAAACTGAGACATGTGCAACATCTGGGTATCTTTATTGTAGACTGTTTCGCCATCCAGTGGCTTTATCAATACAAATTCCAGGACATAACTTGAAGACGGAAAAAACTATTTTTACAGAAGATGGGGTTTAATCAGTCCCCCAACCGGTAGGTCCCAAAGAACACCATAGTCCGGGAAATTTGTATTTTTAAAGTTTTTGGGGATGGGGGAAAAACTTTCTACAATAAAGATACCCAGATGTTCCCTTTTGGGGTTCTCAATTTCATCTTGTCGGAAAGGTATCCCCTTTCTTGTTCAACATTATAATACTGATCCCCTTCATTACTGCTTACATCCCTTCTCCCAATACATAACAAAAAACTTTCAGCTCCTTAAAAATTAATAAAATTTATTGCTCCCTTTATATAAAAATTTTAATGTATGTTTTAAATTTCCTGGGTTTTAGTGGGTTTGGGTAGACGGGAACTGCCCAAGGAGGTATACTGCCCTTTCCCAAAAGCGAGTTTTAAAAAAAAATTTTAATTGTTTTAATCTACTTACACTTAGGTCACCCTAACATACATGTACAACCCTTTATATCCACCCCTCTGGGTTTTTCTTTATTTTCTTTTATTTCCCTTGTTCTTGTTTATTTCCTCTTTCTCCATGGGGAAGTGGAACAGAATTCTTCCCCCCCGTAAGCCTTTGCGTATTGAAAAGAGGCAAAAAAAAATTCCCAGGAGAAAGGGCCTGAAACCCCCTTTCTCCTGATAAATTACAAAATTTTAAAAAGAGAAAACTTTTGTTTTTCTTTTTGAGCCCCCCTTTGCCTTGGGGGGGATAGGGGGCCCGGTTTGTTGAAAAAAAATTTAAATAAATTACATATTTTTGTACTTTATTAAAATTATACACTTATATATACAAAATTACATACATACATACATAATACATACATACATATATACTTTTACATTAGGTTCACAGTAAACAGGTGATTTCGAATATGAAAAACAACCACGGTGAAAGAATAAAGAAATTCCAAGTGTATCGTGACTACCACATTATAAAGGGAAAAATAAAAGTAATACATAAAAGGGAAAGGGCAAAATAAAGGGTTGGACCACACCTCATTTTTTAAAACCCCCACAACAAAGCAAAAACCGGGCCGTGCGATCATACGAAAAGGGGAACCCAAAGCAGCGGGCCCCGCTGCCAATAGACGGGTTTCTCCCCCACAACCCCCCAACAAACTATTCTACCCAAGATTAAGAATTTTAAAATGTTTTTTTTGGGTTCCTTTGTATTATTAAATTTTCCCCAAATTCTATTAATTACAAGGGGATCAAAATTTTAAAAAACAAAGGAAATTTTATTTTTGTCAAAACTGCTTTTTATGAAAAAAAGATTAAATTTATTTTCCCTGTCGACCAGGGGACTTGCTTGATCCAACTTTCTGACTTTTTAAAAAATCTTTGGGGGAGGGGTTTTAAAAATCTCCACATGAATAAATAGAGCATTGGAAAACTTGTCCAATTTTTAAATTTTATATTTATGTTGTTTTAATCTTAGTTCGAGACTTTTACAAGTTCGCCGTTTTAAAAAACCCTTTTTCGCAAATTTTTCAAGGGAAATTTATAGAAATTTCCCTAGCATTTTGGAGGAAATTCTTTTATCAAAAGTTTTTTTTTTTCTGTATCAAGATTTTTAAATACAACTTTGTTTTTAAAAAGTCTTAAAGAAAAGAAGGCATATAACCAAGTTATTGGGAAAAGGGGGAACAACAAAATTTTTGTTGAAAAAAGGTGGTTGTTTCCTTTTTTGGGTTGTAAAAAAGTATTTCTAGCAATTTTAAAAAAATTTATCAATTACGTTTCTTGGTTAATTTTAAAACATTACCTATTTCTAAATTTTTGGGTTTTTTCCCCACCCTTTTAATCTGGATAAAAAATACGGGAAGGTCTCAAAAATTTTGCGTATTAAACCCCTTTTGGCTTAGCGCTTTTTTTTTGATTATAATAATAATAAACTCAAAAATATTTTATGAGAAAAAAAGACAGTTTAAATTTTTTCTTGATGTGAAAATAAAAGTGGGACATAGGAAAAGTTTTTTATTTGTAGGTTTTCTGTAAAATTTTTAAAATTTTAATTCATTATTACCCCAAAAATTTAAAAAATCTAGAAAGGGGGAATGAGTTATTTTTTTCAACCCAAAAGTAAAAATTTTTAGAATGGGGGTTGTATAAATCTTGTGGCTTTTGCGCTTCTTTTTGGGTTTTAATAAAATATAGGGGGTGGGCTAAGCTAAATTTTAAATTTTCCAAGGAAGTGGTGTAAATCACATTCTTGGGGATAAGACACAAAAAAATCAACATATCTGAACCATTTAGCTCTATTAGGGAGGATTGTGTTAAGCAGCCTTGTTTCAAACATTCCATGTATAGGTTACTAAGAACATGTGAAAGAGGATTTCCCATTGCCATCCCAAAAACTTCTGAGTGTAAAACTTACCATTAAATAAAAATTTTTGGCATCAACAATGCAAAGTTTAATAAGTTTAATGATAGTAGGAACTGGAAATTTGGTAAATCATAATTAACGTGTTCTTCAGAGAGAGAGTACGCTCTAGCTGCGCCGCAGCAAGCAGAAACAAGGCTGCCCCTATATCTTGCCGTCCCCTGGGCTATACGAACTCCAGTGATGGCCTAATTGCAATTTACTGCTGAAACAACATGCAAGAACCTATGTGACATGAAAATGACGGTGACGACAACAAAATGGACTAAATTGAAAAAAGAGGGCCCGGGCATTCAAGTACCAGACCTGCTGCAGACGTGAACCAGAAAATGAGACTTTTCCCCACTACAATGAAAAAAACTGACCTCCATATCAACTGCCCCAGTGTTCAACAGGGAAGGGACAAATGCAGAAACCTGATCAACAAAACTCCAAGGAAATGACAGGTCTGTAGACTTTTT